GATGAATTAAATTGCCAGTTCAATACTTCAAATGCGCTTAGAATCTCAATAACTTTAAGCTCCGACCTCTTCGATGGTGCGATCTACGTCTGTCATCACCAAATACATCAGACATAAAGCAGATTGGGCAGATTGGGTGGTTCATACAAGGTTGTAATACTTTGAACAAGCGTGCCAGTTTTTATTCGAATGTTGTCAGAAGGTGGTTAAAAATATAACATTGACCCATAAACCCAATAGCTGTCGAAGTCCTTTATCATGATCTTTCAACGATATGATTCCACATAATTACACATTTTCCATAAATATCACTTTTACCAATTTAGGGTGGAAAAGTCAAATTCCTCAATATCACAAATAAGAGATACTGTCCGAAAACAGCGGCACGCTGCCGTATCTCACGAGCGGACTTATCGAGCGGTGAGGTACCGGGGAGGGACGGCATTGCCAGATGGACGGTACTATCGGTAGGGCAGGGAAAATATGCTTATGGACAAGTTGTATGGGCTAGTTTGACTGACCTAATCTACTTAATTCCTTAATATTATACATCATAATAACTTGTGCCGAATACTAGATGCCATTTTCTAGTGAAATTTAATACTTATGTATGCCATAGCATAGGCTGCTCAAGATCTGTTAACTTGCCCTATTTGTGACCATGACCAGCCATATACAATGTCGTTAAACGCTTGTCAGCAATCATCAATACGGTACAGGTCCGGATAACGGAACACAAACAAGCGGATATGGCCTTCAGAAACGGTCACTGCCAGACCATGTTATGGGTTGTTTTTGTAGGGCTAGGCGCTACCCACCACTGTTTCCAATAATGGTATTTGTCGGTTTCAACTGGGCGATGTCAAAATAGGAATTAAACGTCGGCTGCTGGTAATTATATTGCTGCACATTAGCGATTTAAAATGGCTACCAATCTGCGGGAATAACAAATCACATTATGACAAAGTGGGAGAACACAATGATAGCGGATAAAATGTTAAGCTCGGGTTAATGACACCATGACTAAGGCGGCAGATTAGGACGCTTTAAATCCATAACTCAAAGCACCATCAGATCTCCTCAAAGTCGCTACGGTACTCGGTCACTCAGGATTTGTCTTCACACCTCATTCTAAAAAAAAGTCAAGTAATTTGAAAATGAACACCTACTTTCGGTTCAGTCTCCCTGTTTGGGTCAATATTACGTCAAAGTGATGCTTGTTGTTTGGATGTGCGAGTACAAATACTACCTTAGTGCCTAACTTCCTACAGAACACGCGTTTGTACATGCTTATCTTCAATATAAAATATAGTAGTGCCTCAGAAAGTATTCTAAGGTCATCAGGTTCCATTTGTTTCAAATTGGGGCAATCAAAGAAAGGACTTTGGGTTGTAGATTAGGACAAACGAGTTTTTTTAACACTGAGGTTTATTTTTTAAAAGCAGCGGTAATCAGAAGCCAAGTGGTACAGTGCCATGTGAGGAGACCGAATCACGTCCAAGTTTACAATCCAATTTCTCTTAATGAAGGAGTTATGGTGTTTTTTTCTGATTTTCGGGAACTTCCGAGCTCAGCGCTCATTGTGGTAATACATTCGTAAATAAGTGTGCTATATACCTGTATTCTTTTCGTTCAAAGTGCCATAAGCCCAATCAAATCAAGTAATCAAAGCCTCAAGCTTCAGCTATATAATTAAAAAAAATGGCAAGCATTTACGAAGTTATGACCAAAATAAGCCCGGAACACAAAAATTCCCGGAAAGTTAAGAAAAAATCATAACTAGAAAAATCAAATCATATACATGGAGTGGTTTGAGCTCCCCATACGGTGCTACATATCTGCTCTTCAAAACATCACTACTTTTTGCTATATGTTATAAATTAGTTGTAAACGCGGTTTATAAATTCGAATAATAACTTCTTATTTAAATGATTACATTACATTTGGTTGACTTTGAGATTGCGCAGTTTCAAACTTACTCTTTGTTGGATTGGAAACTCGGCACAGCACAACAAAGGCAGATACTCTTTCATGGTAGTGCATTCTCACTTTGTTCATTGCGAGTTGGGCTGTGACCGTTCACAAGATGCAAGGTTTTACAGCCCATCATGCAGTCATCTAACTGTTTGATGCTGGACAAGCTTATGTAGCACTTAGTCGTGTAAGGCCTTTAGACGGTATTCGGATTGAAGAAGTTGATTGCTCTAAGTTAAGAGGAAAAACCGCATGCAACAGTGAAGCTTTAAATGAAATGATTACATTATGAAATGATTCGTAAGACATTTCAATACCACATCTCCACAAGAAACTAATTGATAAATGAACTAAAAAATCAAAAAATAAATAATAGCTTAAAAAACTAAAAACACGCTTTTATAACTAACCGAACTAAAAGGTAGAAATTAATTTTTAATTACAAAGAATTTATATTACAGTAGTAGATGGTCGAACAATCAATAATAATTAATGACCTCGGAATAAAATTAAAATAAAATTTGAGTTATTATCAGAATAATTCAATCCAGGGTAAAACGCGTAGGGTCGTTACCACCGACAGTACAAGGCCTGACAACAGACGCGTGACGTCACCACGAGTAGGCCGGTCGGCCGGCCGACAGCACGGCGTGCCGTACATCAGCGCTAGTGAATAATTTATGATTATTGCAGCATATTTAATATACTCTACCTGATGTAAATAACGGATAATTCAGAAAAGTGTTTTTGGTATATGAAGGCAACTTGATGGAAAACATTAAAGTAGTTATTAACTATTTTCACCCTGATTTTCACCCATATTTCATCCAACATAACGTGCCCATTAGAGTAATAAGTTGATGTTATAAAAGCTTGCTAAAAACGATAAATTCTTTAATGAATAACCCCATGTTAGTCACAACCGATCAACAAAATTTCACAGGAATGTGTGGACAACTTACTATTATTATCGGCATAATATAATGGTACTTGAAAATTATACAAAACATGTAGTGCTTGTTGAACAGTTGCGTCCAGCAAGAACCAACGAGGAGGTCTGAGGTAAGCTCTTACCAAGAAAGGAATAAGGAAGATGACGAGGAAAAAGTGTATTATAAATAAGAAAAACAGATAAAATCAAAGTAAAATAAACGTAACAAAGATTAACGAAAACTTAATAAAAACTCTTAGAACAAACAAATAACAGCACAAAATGATAAAAAAAATTAGAAAACAGAAAACAAGTATCAAAGATAACAAAAATTAGAATAACGAAAATTAAAGTACTAAATTCTGAATATGTACAAATAAACATTTATCTACAGCTATGTAAATGTTGCTGCCTCATGTGAATGTTCAATTTACATTTCTTTGCTTTATTCGCGCTTGCAATTCTGTCGTTCCTTTTGGCACAATAATTTTTCAAAAACGTATTGACTGTGCAAATAACAATTAGTTTTATAACATAATCTGGTGAATGGACTGTGCAACGCGAAAATGAAGTGTCGTGATTATTATCAAATTGTTAATTATCAACGGAGAAAGAGCGCGTCTCTTATCAGTGATTTCTAAAAATGATTCCTCGTCACTTTCCAAAACTATATTGAAATTGATATAACTTAGCATGACAATATTAATAACTGGATCCCTTGGGAATTTTAAACCACCTCTACTCAAATTCTGTATAATGTTGTGCTTGTCTTCTATGTCAATATCATCTGTGTGTGTCAAATTTTCCTTACAATGATCGCAGTGATTTTTCTTTAATAAGGCATCAACAGTAATCAGCTAAGTAGGTGATGACAGGGATTACATTCTTTATACTATCAATATCAGGCTGTAAAATTTCAATTTCCCGGAAAACCACTTCCATATAATATCAATGAATTTTGCTGTCTCTTCGGAGTGTTGTATGTTTTTACCAAACCTTGATACTGCATCTACTACAAATGGGTTGAATATCTTGAGAGCTGAATGAACATGTTGTCTTTCAAGGTTGGTAGGATATAAAGCTTTTAGGGTCAAACCATAAGCATGCTTCAATATTTTATGACTTTCCATTTGGTACAATGTTTTAAGAGATTTAAATGAAGCAACATTTACCTCATGTGTTTCAAAATCTGGATATGTTAAAATTTGGTCTAGTTTTGAATTCAACCAATTATTGCGGATACATTTTAGAAGGTGCACTGTATCAAAAAGGAAGAATAGGCGACGTTTTTTATCCAACGGATGCGGATAAACAATGCTGGCTTTATTATCTGGAGAAAAATGTGCCATCGCTTTACTATTCAGTGCCTTATTATCACTTACAACACAAAAAATTTTGTAACCAATTCTTCTAATACAATAATAATTTTTTTTGTAATACTGTATAATAGATTATGATCAATTTTAGAAACAGTACAGATTCCAACAACTTCTTTGAAATTAGAGTAGAAGCTTGAAATCATAAAAACATAGGCTGTTGTAGCTAATGAAGCATTATTAATTGACGTTCCAACAATATTACCCCCCTTGAAATCTAAATATTTTATCCTCACCAGGTTTTACAAATCTGAAAAGGTCTTTGCATAGCCTAAGAAGTTATATCTCTCATCGGGAACTGGATCGACCATCAATGTGTTACAAATTGAGCTCAGAGTATTTTGGTGTGGTACAATAAGTGCTCCATGGCTCCTAATAAATCTATAAGAATGTGGACTGATTGTATACAACATAGAGCAGAACATAATTGTTTCTGATGAGTAACTGTGTCTGTTCTTCTGACTGATAACAAGCTTTAGTTGCTCATAAATAAATTGAATGACAGTGTGGGTCTCTTCATCGGTGAATAGTTCTGTGCTATTTAAAACATTGTAAGCATGGTTGATAGTGGCTCTGAACTGGTCTTTACCTGAATATTCCCTCGAAGCATTTACATTCCCAGAAAGAACATTCAGAACATCATCCAAGTGGTGTATACTAGATAATAAAAATGGAGTTTTAATCTTACCTGAGTTGAGTAACATTTCTTGGGAGTACGGTTACGTTTCTACATTGAGATATTTAACAACAATTACAGAGTGAGATATGATGGGTGCTGGTTTATATTCTAACTTAAACAAAGTAACTTTATCCTGAACAATTTTATGCCACCCATATGGACATTGCCATGAACTGAAAACTGTGAGAAAGTCTGAATAATTTTGAAAACTTGTTGATTTTTGATAGGAGGAATAATCATCAATGCTCCTTTGCAGTGCTTTAAGTAGTTGTTCTTGTTCCTTGTCCCGCAATTTGTCGTCTTGGCTTCTTCTGCTTGATATTATGTCCTTTGAAAGGTATTTTGGACAATTTTCAAAGATACTTGGAATTACATCTGCCTTTAGTTTTGGATACTTAAGGGGTACAGTAATGGTCCTACCTGTCTTTTCGTCATGGAAGGTGGATTCCCAAATGATGCTGTCATCAGCAAAGTGCAAATTGCATACTCTGGTGTTTTTTGTGACCACTCAATCACTACGAAGGATTGCAGTGAGCCATCTTTTACGACAGTTTTCATTCAATAGAAACGAAAATACGTGTACCTTCGGACCGTTCCCGTAATTACCGGCGCAATTAGGTACGCAGCACTTGTAAGGCATTTTGAAAACTTAGCTAAACAATCGCGAGACACAAATATAAGTTTGAAACATCAATAATTTACAGTTTACAAAGCACACAAAGAAATATAATCAGAATTTGAGGTTAGTTGGCTGTTGGATGTTAGCGGTGTTACCAAGGTTGCCATATATTGCAATTATTAGACTTCACAAGTGACAGATTGTACGTAATATCGAAAATATATTTATTCTATTTAGATCAGAAAGAATAATCGCATCATCACTGAAGCCTGCGCGGCCCCGAGTACATCTTGCAAATTCGCCCACAGGGAGGTACAACTAATTAGTAAAGATTTCGGTACTGCTATATCAAGTCTAGAAATGACAACACCGCAGAGAAATGGTGGCGCTGCTCTCTTGCCAGCCAGCATCGCGAAACTCCATAAGAATATGCTTAGGCCTACTCTGCGTGACGTCACAGGCTTTTCATAGCCCAGTTGTTTGGCCTTGTACTCTGGGTGGTAACGGTAGGGTGCATTTTACTATATTTTCATAATTCTCTTCTCATAGATAGTTGCCAATAGAATGATTGTAACATTTAATATATCAAGCACCCCACCCGTGATACTCTAAATTCAGTTACTCTGTTAATAACTTAAACTTTTTTTTAAATTTTATTTTGAGGTCATTTATTATGATTGATTGTACGACCATCTACTACTGGAATATAAACTCTTTGTAACTAAATATTATTTTCTTCCTTTAAGTTCGTCTAGCTATAAAAGCGTGTTTTTTAGTTTTTTGAACTTTTATTTACTTATAACGTAAAAGCTGGTTTTAATTTGAATTTCCGCTCGAATGTCAAACGGTTTCGCCTCTGATACCAAACCATGTTAGTATGGAAAAATACACTTACCGTTCGCGCGTTGATATCGGTATTGAAGCCGTAAGAGAAAATAACCTTTGTAGATTTGCAGTCTTAGTTGCCTTGTGCTATTTTTCTAGCGGCATCAAGTCTCTGTCTTGTACCTTCATAAGACTAATCCTTGTTTGCTCGCACTCGATACAGTGGCTTGGTGCGCAATTAATGTACTGTTTGATCCTTGACTTATCGGGACATTTTGTCCCGATCAGGTACAAAGCAGGACTCGTTCGCAGACCCTGTAAATCGGTACATCGCGCGCAGTTTGGGATGCCTGGAAACTCTGTCCATCACCCAATTCATGTGTGCGCGCAAGAGCGAGTAGCGTCTTGAGTAGTAACTTCTCTTAGGGAAGGTAAGCTACGCACGTGGTACCATTACTTAATCTGTTTACTTATTCAGTATGGTATTGTGACGTAACCGCCAAAAGTCGTGAAAAGAACTAAGCCCTTGCTTATTTACTTGAGTGTAGTGGACGGAACTAACACTCGGCAGTAAGCTCTATACTGACAAATTTGTCTGATATAGGTATACGCTAGGATGGGCTGACATTCACCCAATAGTGATGCGGGTGATGCTGAGCAAGGTGCTTGATGATGTAGTCAAACCAAGGGACTGGTAAACGGTTTATAAATATGAATGTATATGCATGACGGTAATGATGGGATGCCTTACCAAATTTGCTCCTAGGATTCAATGCAATGCTACCGACCACAATAAAATACTGCAAGCATTACCATGGGGAGACGTGTAGCGAACAGTCGGATTCAGACAGGACAGCGCTATGGAGCTTTTTTGCTTATAAAAGCTTCCTGCTATCAAAAAAAATGTTCTTCAAGTGATATCCCAGCTTATTCCCAGCATATTGACGAAACGTGTTCTTAATTGGTGGAGTACCTGTCCAAGAAAGAAAAGGTGGCGCGATGAGCCAGACTTCTGTTATAAATACAGGGTGCGGCAGAGAGGACAGACGCTTTTGGGATTTGTAGTACTCTCCGCCTCCGTCTACGAGAGAGGTGGGGGGGAGAGGTTTGACTCGTGAGATCCTAGCATTATTTTACCAGTTGTCGTTATGGAGCCTTGGACGGTGGAGCACCGTGTTTTCGCCTATGATTGTTTCGTCCGAAATAATGAGTATGTCATCGTCGTACAGCGTCAGTTTCGTCGCCACTTCAACATTCATCGGAATAGGGCTGTTCCCTCTCGAAACACCATCCTTCGTTGGGTTGAATCACTTCGCAGGCGTGGTGAACTGATCAACAGAAGACCAAGAGGAGCGCCGCGAACAGTTCGAACTCCTGAAAACGTTGAACGCGTTCGACAGGTCTTTCTGCCCGGAAACATGCTGCTGCACTTCGCCTTAGTGATCGTTCGGTAAGGCGAATTTTGCATATGGATCTCCGCTTTCGCCCCTACAAATTGGCCATTGTGCAACAGTTACGAAAGCGAACTTCCAGGAACGCCTCCAGCACTGCATCAACGATTTCGGCCACCACATGCCTGATGTGATTTTCCACACTTGACTGTCTCAAATGCTATTTCCTTGCGAACCTGATTCCATCAATAAATTTGTTTTCCTCTCTGCCGCACGCTGTATAAAAATGGGATTTGGGACTGTTTCACCTATTACATGGTATTTTAAACCATGTTGAAACCATAATGATTTAGCTCTTTGAATCAACACAAAATGTGAGCCGACCGAAATATCTACAATTATTTAACCACCATAAGCAGTTAGACACATTGGTAAAAATTACAAAGAGTATGTAGAAGGTTATGCTGAGCCAATATTATGCTCCGTTATAACAATACATTTCACCCAATTCATATAATACAACATTATGAAACATTTCCACGTAAATAATAGGAACACCAAAAATTCGTTCCACCGTTTTCATCCTCGTTTTATAGTATTGGTATTCAATTAGTTATAAAATCCATATCGGTTAATGGGAGCTTAAAATACCTGTCAGGTACAAAAATCTGCAATCGAAGCTGCACATAGCTCCTTCATCTTCTGGCCTCCCAAAATACTGAACTGCAACGTCGCATTAGCGCCTAAGGTGGTTAAGCAAGAAGTGGAGAAATGATATGGACTATAGAAGAGTAGCGTGGATATATTGGTCGCCTCCAGACGGTAAATCAAAAACAAAAAAAACCTATTGTATAGCGGCATGTGTGTGGGTGTATCTATCCAGTTGAAGGGTGGATGTAAAGCTGGACATACACGCTAATAAAATACTTGGCAGCCTGGCAACATTATGGATATTCAGATTCATGATTCCGCTACAATAAGATCTGTATGAATATTTTGATGAACAAATCATAATCGACTGTCTCTACCCACACTCCGCCGATACATGACGCGAATTCGTACCTAAAATCTCCCAGCGTTTGAGAAGCTTCATTCCATCCAGGGCCTTTGATTTCTTACCTTTCGTCTTTCATTCATACGCAATTGGTCTATAAAATGCTCAAGTTGATGATTCCTTTATTACCAACGGCAGATAATGATATATCAATTTTCCTATTTTTAAATCTTCAGAACACAACTCTTTAAAATACGAAATACACACACTCCTTAAAGTGTTTTGAAGGGTGCTCCATGTAAAATTTCTCTAAGAATTCTAGTTGCTACGCTCAAAACTCTTATTATTATTGTAACCTGTTTATCGCATGACCTTTCGGTAAACATTACCGTGTATGTTTAGCTTTTGCTTAGAATGATCCATCAGACGGCGGTAAAGGGGATCAAAGAAATAAACCGGCAATAAATTATACTCGATAAAAGAGGGACGCTCTACCTAAAGACAGGTCGCAGGACGGCGTGTTTCTGCTCCCCTGATTACTCATTGCCGACGGTCTGTTTGATAACTGGTCAGTCAGTCTTTGCGAGCCAAAAACACAAAATACGGCGTTTGTCTTTGAGGTGCCGCGCCGCCGACTGCATTAGCGTATCCGCTGGTTGTTCCACTTCCAAATTCATAAGAAAAAATTACATGGATTACTCTTAATGCCTATTGAAACTTAAAATATTATTTTTTTTCTCAAATGTCTGGTAGCATTTTATGACTAAAAACAGGATAATTTCTTTAATTAACGCATCAAGTTGTAAATTTAATCAAGAAGGACTTATTCATTTCTTATTTACTTCGTCGCCGTCGCTGGTTGGATGGAAACCCAATGATATTAGAAAGAACGGCGGAACTCTTTGAGCTAGGCCCACAGACCCCACACGCCTCTGTTACTATTCTGGTATGGGCACACCGGCGTATTCAAGGAGGGATTTGAGGCTCCTCGGAGTTTCCCTTGCCGAAGCGTAACAGCTCATTGGGCTTCTTCTACATATTACAGCATGTTAAACCTTCTGTGAAGTGTGCTACCTGGACTAAGCGAGTTCCCCCCTGCTAAGCAGTTTTCTATCTCCACGACCCTGGATCCTGAGCCTCCTCCCAGATCTATTTCTGGATAACACCACTGGTTGGGCAGTATCTCAATCTACAGGAAACGATTACTATCGCAAAATCAACCACAACTGTGGCTCCTACAAATCACTTTTATGGGCACCTTTAAAATTCGGACTAAACTAGGAAATCACATATGAGTAAATTTAATGAATCATAATTGATCATAATTGTTTTTATTAGCATTGGGAGGATTTCTGGAAAAGCAAAAAGTCTATATACTTGGATTTCTGCTTAAAGTGGCTTAACCTACCAGTATCTGTACAAAGTAAGAAGCATGTAGACCAGAAGGCAGTTTTGTATAGACACGGAAAGTGGTTAAACTGAATACCTACTGGTGAAATACTTTTCAGAGCTAATGAAATTAGTTGCAAGAAGGATAAATAGCCAGCGCTAATATGCTCAGCAGCCTGGTTAACTAGTATGCATATTCAGATTCATGATTCCGCCACAACATGATCTGTATGAATATTTTGATGAACAAATCATAATCAACTGTCTCTACCCACACGACGCGAATTCGTACCTAAAATCTCCCAGCGTTTGGAAGCTTCATTCCAGCCAGGGCCTTTGATTTCTTACCTTTCGCCTTTCATTCATACGCAATTGGTCTATAAAATGCTCAAGTTGATGATTCCTTTATTACCAACGGCAGATTTGAGAGTGGAAGGATTTGCGGCGATTTTTAAGATAATGATATATCAATGTTCCTATTTTTAAATCTTCAGAACACAACACTTGAACATACAGAATATACACACTCCGTGTAAAATCTCTCTAAGAATTCTAGTTGCTAGGCTCAAAACTCTTATTGTTATTGTAACCTGTTTATGGCATTTCCTTTCTGTAATCATTACCGTGTATGTTTAGCTTTTGCTCAGACAGCCGTAAAGGAGAT